ATGAGACAACGAGATGAAAGACAACCAGCACCAGCCCCGAAAACTTCGACTCGAACAAGTGAAGCTTGCGATGAGGGACAATATTCTTGGCATGCACGAGAGAACTGGTCAATCGATTTATCGCTTGCTCGCTCGTTCGCTCTCACATCGATCCGGACAGACAAGCGGTCTGGCTGTCGCTGATTTGGCATCGGGCTCGACTACTACTACTAAGACTCTCTCAGTAGTGTGCTTCGCATTACGTTTTTTAATGGAGCTTGAACTGTATCGCACCGCGGGGCGACGACCACAGTGAGCGACCACAAAGTGGCAAAGTTGTAAAGTCGCGACGACATTCGCTTTCATTTCGAGCTGCAGCCGCCGTCTGATGGTCACTCGCATTTCCACTCGCAGTCGACTGACTGACTGACTGACTATATTCCGTGTCGTGCAGTGCAGTGCAGTGCAGTACAACGCAGCGCCATGGCGTGCCATTGCGCCTTGCCACATCGCTTCACCCCCTCTCCTGTCTCTATATCGGCCCAACTCTTCACGCTTCCACCTGGCATCATGCACTTGCCGCGCTCAGCGGCTCATCGGTTCATTCGTTATCATGCACTTGATGTTCGGCTTCGTTCGCGTTCGCGTTCGCGTTCCATTCGCTTTCGATTTCTTTTATGCTTTCGATTTTTATACCATTGAAACTTTAGAAGGGTATCAACGATGGCACATGCAGATCGTTGCATACAGTGTGAGTGAGACTTATACGATCATTTCATTTTTTAGTTTAATATATTTTAATTTAGTTTCCAAAAGTTGGAATGGATTTTACTTCAGCTTTATATATTTTTATTTTAATTTTTATTTTTTTTTTAATCACAAACGATCATTTAATCTTCACGATTTTAGTATTTATTATATTAAAAATAATACAATACACAAAAATAACGAATTTTGTACACCTACAAATTTATCAATTGAAAAAAAAAAAACCTAAACAAAAAATAAATATTTTATGCATTTCATGGGTTATTATTAACCACTTGAGGCCCCATGGGGACTGTGACCTCGAAGTTGAAGTCACTCAACTTATCTGTTTATCAGTTGTTTTATTTTTTTAAGATATTTATGATTTGTCCGATACTTTCTACCTACCTCCGTGAAGGAGCTTAATAAGTAAGCGTGCGAAACTTATTAATCATATCACATCATAGCCATGAATGCAGACGTTACGAGTTTCACGTGTGGTACTTATGAATGAGCCAAGATTAGCCTCCATCGGTTAAATCGCGACTAATAACCGACAGTGGCCCTTGATCACCAAATGAACAGCTGAACATCTGAACATCTGAACAACTGTATAACTAGCGGGGCGACCACTTTCATTTTTATTTCAAGTCACGGTCAGATTCATACCGGAGATGACGATCGCAGTCACAACGGCTGCCTCGTCATTGATCGTTGGAAAGTTGTTCTCGCACATTAATTATAAGGCCTTTTTTTAAACGTTCGATGCCAGTCCTCATGACCACACGTACAGCCCAAACAGTAATAATCGATTCCGATGTAAACTGAACCAAAAAACAACCTATTACGGCATTTTATAAAACAAGAAAAAACCAAGTTATTCATGCAACAAAGTATTCACAAGTTGCAGTGCATCGATGGATTGCTGCACTTATTGCCACAGTTAAGTGGTCCAATCTGCCCCAATTTCTTTTGTTGGCAATGTGAAATGCATGTTAACTTCTTTCCGGTATGAAAATAGTTAACGATTTTGGCATCTTCAGTTGACAATTATCGCTTACGATTTGATGGTTCAATTAAATGAATTAATAACTGCAATTTAGATGGAACGGATTACGTTGCAAGTTCAGATGAGATTTTCAAGTCTGAAGTATATTATTTATTTAAACAGAGTTTTATTTTATTAAATTATATATATATATATATATATGTATATAGATAAAACAGCATAGACGAAAATAAAATTAATTTAAATAGAAGGTTGCTTACAGTCAGCTTATGATTGCTTTGGCTATGCAAATGTTTAATGGAAGTTAAAAAAAAAACTAGGAGGGTTTTCAAAATAGTTATACATACAAGTTAACTTTTGTAAGCTTGTTAATATCTGTTATTTGTTAACTACTAACTTTGACCTAGAGCCAAATAATTTTAAAACACTTTTTAGCAATTTTCAGCTTGCTCAATGCCAGCTTAGGGCTTGGTGAAAACATAGTCATTCAAAATAATTTAAATCGTTTCTATATATACTAAAATTTGTACTTTAATAAATAAATAATTGAACAAATTTTGTATTGTTTGGCGGCCTCCTTTTATAATTTAAATATGTTTTCGCTAGCCAGGTCAAGTGTCTTTCATTTTTTATATACTTAATATCATAAATTATAAGTCACCAACCAGGGTGGCTGATGCAGTAATATACATTCCGCGAAATTCGATTAAAGGCACTCGTGTTTATAGTGCTAAAAACTGTACCAAGCCTAAAGGGACCTTGTTTGCGCATTTTATAACAGTGGTTCTTCTTCTTACACTGTTATCATGTATTGGAATGCAGGTTCCCTTAGTTTTTCCAAGATTATTGGGCTTTCCCTTTTTATGGTTAGTTTAGGTGCGAAATTCGAATAAAGGCAGTCACTTTCAAGTAAGTATTCCGTTATATGGATTTTCTTTGAACGGGGTATACATATTTATTTAAAATAAAAGATTAGTTGCTTACAAAAATTCCGAATGGGTAGGGGAGAAACACTCTCACCTGAGGAAATAGCTAATAGATCCTGGCTTACAAGGATACTCGAATGAGTAACCGGCAAATATCAATTACATTACGTCGATCGGCATCAGCAATTGATAATGTGTTAAAATTAAAAGAAAAGTACAACAAGAATCGTTAAAAAACCAACATTCTATTTGGTTTATTTGGCAAAATGTAAATAAGTCAGAGAGATTTTTCCATACTCGAAGCTGTGGCGGTGCTTCACTCATGATCTGGGCATTCAGTCATCACAACCAGACCTTGATTTGTAAAATTTCAGGTCGTATGAGCTCGGATGGTTATAAGAATTTGTTGGACAAAGTTTTGGTGAACTTTATATAGCATCAAACGGACCCAAATGCCTTATTCCAGCAGGATAATGCTTCAATTCATGTGCCGTGAGCCTGTCGTGGTTGGTTTCTGGATAAGAATCTTATGATTTTAAAGTCGACAGGAAGATCACCAACCTGAATCCCATAGAGAGCATATGGGGACAACTGTTCCGTCGACTTTAAGTAAGTAATCGGCAGTTTGAGACAGTTGAGCAACTACGAAGACCGTCGGTAAGGAATGGTCCAAAATTCCACTATCTGACTTTTAAATAGTTGTTGAATCGATGTAAAACCGAATTTATTTAGTTGTAGACAAATCTGGAGGCTGAACACATTATAAAGTTGTTATTTTCATGTTATTTCACTTTGGAACAAAATTTTTTTTAAATTTTATTTTACATTTTATAATGAAAAAATCAAGTGCCTGTAATCGAATTTCGCGGAGTGTATAGATAAATCCTAAGTTGATGATATGTTAAATTTTGCTTATATTGTGTAGCTTTGCAGTTTAGATTAAATAGGCGTTATGCAAATTGGAAACTGTGAAAGGCAAATGTTTTGAGTACAAGCTTTTGAAAATTATTCAATTTCTGCCAAACTGACCCAACTGAAAGTACAAATAAATATTGCCAGTGTGTTGTGACACATATTTTTGAGATACATATTTTCGTCAGCCTCTTAGATTTTACTATACTCTTTGTACGTATTGGGATTGGGTGCAGGGTACAGAAAACTATGATCAAACTTGTTGCTTCTGCGGCATTTGCGGTTAATAATGATTGAGTCTTTGCTGTTGTTATTGGTTTTGCTTATTGGCTGTTGTTGTTGTTGTTGTTGCTTGGATCGCTTTGGTCGATGCCTGGGTTGCTTGTTAAGCTACAAGCTAGAAACTTAACAACATTAAAAATACACATGTATAAATAAACAAGCAAGCAAGCAAGCAAACGACAAAACCAGCCTCAAATTGAGTTAAAAGCCCAAGAGATACCACAACAACAACAACAACAATGCAAACAACTTTCCACCAGCAGTGGCGAGTTTGGATATGGATTTGATTTGGACTTGGACACGTCCACGTGTGCGTGAGTCTCTCTCAAAACTTAAAGCATATATCTTTATACACATATTATATGTAAGTATAAATATATATATGTACATACAGCATATATATATATATCTATATATATATTTGTTTGTGTACCACAAATTGTTTATTTGTCAATCGGCATTAGCCGCTGTGCTGCCGCAGCAAGAAAAGTGAAATTTTTCAGCAATCGCTTCGATTTATGAGCAACGTCTTAGCTGGTGCTGCCTCTGCTGCCAATGCTACTGTGGCAAGCTGGAACTAAAGCTGCATCTAAGACTGAAGCTGGTGCTCTCTGTTTAATGGCCAGGCTGCTTCGCTTGGCGTAAGAAAATCGTGACTTTTGATTTGACATTTTGCCGTCATAAGATCGACGATGGCTCGTTATCAAATTAAATCGAAAACAAGTTGGCGGCAATTTAAATTTATTTGCTTGGTGGGGCAAAAGAAACAACCGTGGCGCTCATCATTGAGGCTCGCCACACTTTGAATGTCATCTCGCAGTTAGCTAAATGTCATGCATCATCCTATTTGGCAGCCAATAAGCTCCGCCCGCTCCTACTACTCTACACTCAGAAAAAAATTGATGTGAATTTTATTAAACTGCCATAATTATGGAGCCAAGTGTAGGCGCCAAGCCTTTCTACTTTTAGACACTTTTTTTTTTTTTGTTTATTTAGTCTTGAGGTCGATTTTCAAAATTTAAGGGAGATATTTTTTGTTTCTGTGGCAATTCAACTACTACATATATATTCTAATATTATATATATATATTGTAATTCTAATCGAAAATCCATTCTATATCTGCGTCTGCACGCTTGCCCAGCAGTCAGCGACTCTGGCAGAATCAGTAAGTACAAGTATTAAGTGTTTAGTTGTTGTTTGGAAATTTGTAGCTACTTTCGTAATAAATTCTCACATATATTTGTTTATTTTAATGCGCTTTTATGTTGTTCGAGTTTGTTGTTATTTTTAAGAAGAAACTAGTAATTATAATTATAAGTTTTAAACATACGAGTATAATTGACTTGAGTCGTATATAAAATATGAAAAACATTTATGACCTTTCATTTTAGAACAAATGGACATACGTCCGTTCAAAATATACGGAATAAGTATATTGTTTTCTTACTGAAATATTTCGTTATTATAATTGATATACTTGCATTGCTTTACAGTTAATTAAATGTCAACTGGTCTTCAGGTTGTGTCTGTTGTTGCTAATTACAACAGCTTTTGTGTTCATTGTACTCATTATCAGTCACATATCGCATTCAATTAGTTTTTGTTTTCGTAAGCATAAATCTGAGTTATTATTCAGTTGAATTAAAGTATTTAAGCACTTTTTACTTCTCTTCGTTGTACACGTTTTAAATGTTTAACTTTATTGCTTAAAAAAATACGCACGTGTGATTCGTACACTGGGCATTTCCAGGCTGAATAAGTCGATAAGAAAAACTTATTATTTTCTCAAACTAAATATATTTAAATGTAGTTTTAATCTGGAAGTAGTTAAGAAGAACAAGCAAAAAGTCATTGCTTTCAAAAATTGGCTCAGTTTTGTTTTTGGCGTCAATTAGAAAAAGTTCGTTAGTAAAAATTCGTGGACAGGCAGTCGATGCCAGTTGTCGATGTCAGTAGTGTTCAAACCATTATTGCAGCACACGTTTCGCTCTTTAATTTAAATGTGACAAAAGTAGATTCCGATAAGGTGGAAGGTGTAATGTAAATTTTACTTGGCCTGCCAAACCGCTAACTTCCCCTCTGACGACCATTCGATGTCATTTGGCGGCAGCCCATTGCAAGTAATGTGTAAAACGTGTTAAATTTTCAATGCTGTTGGCCAAAGCAATGAGTTACTTGAAAGCTGAAAAACAGTAAATGCATATACCTGGCATATACCGGACTGCAGCTGACAAAGTAGGCAAAGTATGTGAAGGCCCTGGTGCCCGGGGACTGTTGTCTGGTGCCCAGCTACTGTTTTGGGGCTACTTACTTCCCTGACATACGAATTTTCACATAAATCAGTGCAAATGGCGCATTTAAGCGAACGCCAGCAAACAAAAATAATAAAATGCAAACAGCACTGACAGATAAATAAAATTAGTCTGCGTATTTGCAGCGCAAAAGAGCCAAAACTCCAGTCGAACAAACGAACCCCTTTTAGGAAGTCCGACGGTCCTCACCCCGGCTGGCGTTGACATTGGGTCTTCACTTGCTTCTTATCGTACTTTGGTGAGAACTACCGTGTTACTCACTTCGTTCCGCTTCAAGGTTTACTCGAGCTTCTGGGATCTTCATCAGATTATTTGTTCAGCAAAAAGTCAAATCGTTCACTAAGGCTAAGGGAGTTCTGTGTGTGTAAGACTATAAATTCGGAAAGATGGTCAGATCGACGGACGAACATGGCTAATTGCTGATCAACAATATAAATACTTTATGGGGTTAGAGACGCCTCCTTCACAATGCGTTGCAAACAAAATTAAAATTCCTCTTAAAAGTGAATACAAATGTTTTGTTGAATTTATAACATTTAAAATTTGTTGAACAACCGCATTTTAGCCAAGTGCACTGACCATTCCTTAGGTAGTCTTATCGCGGCAAATTATTCAACACCCACATGAAGACTAAACATAAGCTAATGACTGGCGTGACAAGCGATCAATGATAAAAACTCACTTGGAACCAACCAAATTGTCGTTGGCTTTGTTTGCCACTCGGCTCGTGTAAATGGCCTAAGGGGTAAAATCCCCGCCCTGCACTTACCCGCCTCCCATGTCTACAAACCAAAACTGTGAGTGATGGCGGCGAGTTATAAGACATTTAATCTATTTGTCCGAGCTACTTTGAGCCTGTCTATAATTTATGGAATTTACCAATAGCCCCAAAAACTTTGCAGATAGTTAAATTGGCGCATGTCGCTAGCATTAGTCATGCCTGAGGTTGTAAGCAGCCTTACTTTTGGGGTCGACCAAAATTCACTTGCTATGTGCTGTGGAGTCATTATCTATAAAGTATAAATATAGATATAGATATAGATTCAATAGTGGTTTATTGTTTCGTCGCCGTTGGGGATATAAAGTCAAACAAAACAGTTCTTAGAACTTTAACCAGCAGGTGTCTTATAGTTTTGCTCTTTCTCTAGAATTTATTTGTATATTTACGATTTTTTCTTATCAATTATCAATTCTCAATATCGTTAGGCGTTAAGTTATAGTAAATATATCTATCTGTTTTCTGTTTGTTACATTTCATGAACTACATACATATGAAAATATTTTTGCTTGTAAGCATTTATTGTGATCTAATCTTGTATTTTTACCTTATCTACATATTTTTCATATTATTTTAGCATGTAAGCATTTCTGGTCTATTCATGAACCTTAGAAGAAACAGAACTTAATTCTTTTTCATTTAGATGTATTTCGAGAACACAAGGACTTTGTTATAAATCATTGCTGTCGTTCATATTTAAAATCGTTGACAATAATGTTTATGAATATAAATTTTCTACAATTTCTCTCTTTTTGTTTCTGTCATCATCCGTAGGCATCTCGTAAAGTCTCCAAATGTGGATATTTGTTTGTGGCGCCGGATTGGGACTTCTCTAATCCATTGTACAGGACAAAGGTGAGTTTAGCTGTTTGTGTTTTTTTACCTCCTTAATAATATTGATTACCAAGTTGCAATGAACAATAAGCATTGTATTATTAAATAATATATATATATATAATTGTACATAAGCGCGCTCTCTGCTCGTTCACACATCTGTAAGGAGTACGACAGAAGTGGTTGCTAAAAAGAGTACTATTACGAGAATGTAACTATATATGCATGTGTATATAATATACATTTTAATGTATGACTTGTTGACTTGGAAAAATCAAACAACCCAAATGCATACACCTGAATTTCGGTGCTCACTTTCCAAAAAAAAAAAAGAAGAAAATAAATCCGTTTGCATATCGTACAAATAAATCGCATGAAGCAAATTGCTCGCCTTGCTTGACGGAACAGCAGCACTTGAGCAAATATTTGACAGCCTCAGCCTGGCCTGGTCGGTTAAAGAAAGTAATGACAACGGTATTGCCCTGACACTGGCACCCGTAGCCGGTAGATACTGTTATTGTCGTTGTCACTGGTTTTTGGACCAGGCAACGCCTAACGCTGTCCTTGTCACACTCTCGTGCCGATTCGTATCTTGACCAATTAGCGAATGACGTAGCGACGTGCCGGCAGTCAGCGCATCGTTAAAGCCGCCAGCGTCCGCAAAAATAACCGTATGCAAATGCCACAAAAACAGTTGCCAGTTGCCAGTTGCCAGTTGCCAGAGGGGTGCAGGGGGCAAGGAGCTTCCTAGAAATTGCCAAGTGTCCAACGACGATAATAATAAAAGTGTGCACATGCGCATTGCGCACTTCCTTGTTAACAACATAAATTTACGTATGTTTTTAATGGCTGTACAGGTATTTAATTAACATTGACTGCATAGATCCACAGCGCTACAGTATTAACCGGATGTGTGTGTTGTGTGTATGTGTGTGCATCTCTCTCTCTCTCTCTCTATGCCTCTCTATCTGCTGTTTGCCACAAATTACCCAGCCAAACAAGTGATTTTGGGGGAGTGGCCAGATAAGGTATGTACATATGCAGATACTTTCTTTCAAGCAGTGAAATTGGTTAGAAATTCACCGGACAATCTGGGGGTTACTACACTTGAAAAAAATGTATGTACAAGAATTTAAGAGACAAATGCAACTCCTCTAATTTTTTAAATTTCTTCAAACTTCAATTTCAAAAAAAAAAAAAAAAAGTTTTTTTATGAATAAAATTTTAAAATCAGAGTTGCAAATTAAATTATAGAAAATTAAAATGGAGAATTTCAATTACAAATTTTAAATGAAAAAAAAAATAACAAAAATAAATAATATAAACAATATTTTAAAATTAAAAATGCAAGGATTGGGGAAATCCGGAAGACACCAATCGAACAAATTTAAAGCTGACGACTTAAATGTGACTTAATTGTGACTACATTTTAAACCAACAATTTTTATTGTTAGAGAGATTTTTCTAAAATTTAAAAAACAAGTAGAAATTATTGTAAAAAACTCAAATATTGTTTCATAATAACCTAATTTTTTAGATTGGCATTTCTTTGCTAGATTCTAGGCTATACATTTTCCTTGAGTGTACTTACTTAGTTTGATTAATCCCCTTCGGCATACTATTTAGAAAGTACACGTTACACACACATATTTTCTTTGCTGGTAGCTAATATGTATTAAAAATGGCTCAGAGCTCTGGGTTACCTAGTGCAGTTGCAGGTTGGCCTTTTGATCTATTCGCCCAACCCTTTGGGCCATAATTTGCCGGCTGCTGGTTGAGCAATTATTGCATTTCACAGTTTACAGCTTCAGGTGTAGTCAATTTGTTTTTATCTTGTGCAGCTCTGTGCATTTCATTTATTTGTTCGACTGCCAGACACAAGCCTGTAACCAAAACTATCAGCAAAATGCCAAAAGCTATTTATTTGACTAGACAGCATGCAATTTCTATGCTTGTGGCCAGTGCAAAAGTGATTAGACTTTGGCGCCTAAGGAACCACATTTTATTGCGACCATTAAATTCAATAATATTTATTTACATGCTAGAATATTAAAGTCATGAGTTGTAAACAAAATCTACAAATTATTGAGAATAAAAGTTGCATCTTTTTGTGATGTTTCACAAATCTTTTTAAGGTTTAATTCGCGATCGTTTTTTTCCTTCTTACTAAGCTACTAACGTTTAAAAATGTTTTCTTTTATTAGTTTTGTTTTGTGATTTCCCTGTCATTGCAATAAATTTATTTTTAAGCATTGTAATATTCCCATTTTTATTTACTTTTTATTACTTTATATAAATTGGAACTTTAATTTAATTCTTTTGAAACTTTTTTAAAAGCCCGGATGTTAAATTTTGAATATTTAAGCGTAAGTTTAATTTTCATCGATAAATAAGTCGCCCGGAATATGCATATGACCAGCTCGTATGCTTTTTTAAAATTGTTTTCTGAAAATCTGGCTTTATAGTAATATAAATAAAGAGCTGAAAAAATCAAATTTCGCCTGCATAATTTTCTGATAATTTCATTTGACAACTTAAATGGTGTAATTTGGTGCAGATAATTTATCATATAACTTGATATTGATTACAATTATGAGAGCATTGAAACCTGTAGGCATTCGGCCCTTTGTGACGACTTTCAGTGCGAGCCCCTGGATCCGGGCAACAGGTTACCACTCTGCTTTAGCCGCTTCACCCCTCCATGCCCCTACTTGCCCCTCTACGTGGCAGTGCATTTTTTAACGCGCTAGGAAGCGGCTATAAAACGTACAGCTCAGAATTATGTAGATTTTTATCGGCGCGCCAACTTTTCTGCATACAAAGTGCACAATTTTCATTTGTGGCGGCGGGGCAAAGAAAACCTGCCGAGCAACAACTGGCCTCGGACGGACAACCACAGAGAGAGAGAGAGAGAGAGAGAGAGAGACAAGGCAACACGTGGGCAACATAAGCGCTGGCTGAGCAGCAGCCGATAAGCCAACAATATACATATATATATATATGGTTGGGTGCAACTTGTGCCCCTTCTGTGGCAGGATAACCATAGCTGTGTCATTTGCCGCCGAAACAAGTTCAACGCCATCAGGCCGGCGAAACGGAAGTGTTTGCAGTTTGTTGATAATCACAATCATCTTGGCCACTGTCCAGAAATGCTGTTGATTGACAAGAGACTAGCTGCGAGTGCCTCGCAGCCTCTGTCGTTCTGGTCATCGATCCGCGTCTGCCTTATTAATTAAACCAGGAAGCATTTGCGCAGCGCATGGACAGCTGTCCAGACAAATGCGACGAGGTTCCAGCTTCAGCTCCAACCTCAGGTCCAGCAAACAGAAAACAGCTCCAGCTTGGCCTGCAGCCATTCCAAGATCTGGAAATATTTATTAAAAATTATGCACGCATTAGTGGAACGTCTTTCTGCCTCTCTCTCTATCTGTCTGTCTGACTGTCTGTCTGTCTGTCGCTGACTATGTCGCTCGTTGGCGAATGTCTTGGCTTTATTAAGGAAATGGTTTGCGTTACGAAAAGTACACAAAATGTTGCGTATTATATGTAGTATTGTTGTTGTTGCTGTTGTCGTGATTGCCATCGTCTTCTCTCGGCGATTTAAGGTGGTTCAGTTTATAGTCTGCTTGATGGCAGAAATTAACGATTCAGCTATTTTACGATACGCCCACAACGAGTGGTCTTAATTTCCTGTTAAATGGTTGGAAAAACTAATTACAAGAACAGCGAAAGAGACAGTGAGGGAGATTAACTGAATTCCGAAGCCGAAAGGCGACTATTGCCTGTTAGACATAAATGTATATGAATATTACAACCGAAAAGCACGTTTTCGGTATCCAAATAACGCAAACAAATTCATTAGACGCAATTAACAGCTGCTCGAAGGGGGTTGAAGAGAGGGTTGCATTGGAATTTCACGTTTCGCCAGAGTTTCGACCACAGACTGCACGTGGGTGTACCAAGTGGAACGGAACGCAACGAAACGAAATGGCTGAGAATGTTGCTGGAAAATGGGAAATGCAATTTATGCATATCTAATAAGCGTAAAGGAATCTTTTTTTTACGAGTCAGAAATATATTGAAATGTATTTAATGCGCATTTAATGAGTTTTGGTAAAGTTTTAATTGATTTGCTGTTGAAGGCTTTTTCAAATTAAATCAATAAACTTGCTGGCCTTTTTATACTCTGTGGGTATATATATTAATGTTGATAAATAAACGTTTTTGTGGAGGCACAAGTTCGTACTAGAATTACTTTGAAAATATAATTATTAAGTACTATATATTATTAATATTATCAATTGACTTTTATAAAACAGATGATTCATTAGTAAATAACGCCTTGTATTTAAGCTTATTGCTTAAGGTTAAGCCACTGGGACAGAAATAAATAAATAGTTAGAGCTCATTAATTAGTATAAACTTATTGAGGAGAGAAATCTTGCATATGGAATGTGGGCATTTTCTAAAATCAACTACAGCTTCAAGGGACTCTAGATCTTAGAACATTTTGGGAAAATTACAAATTATTATTTATAAAAGTTCAAATAAAATTCGAAAATTAGTAAAAACTTATTCAGTAGAGCAATATTTCATTTAAAATATAGATATATTCTGAACTCAACTACATCCTCTAGAGACTCTAGATTTTAAAATATTCTGGGAACATTGATAATTCCTTATTCTTACAATTTTAAATGATTTATTCAACAAATGACGTTAAGCTCAATTTCTTGCGCAATCGGGAATAACTATCAAATATCTTCAATGTATATATTCTTATCTGAGGGTACAGCTTATGTATTATGAATATTTTCAAATGTCAATTGTGGTGTTTGCCATTCAGCAAGCCACAAGTGGGTTAAGCACATGCATTTCATTTGCATATAGAAGCTTTGGCAGCATGACGCAGAGAGCTTGACTGATTGACTGTCTGTCTATCTGACTGTTTGTCTATCTGCCCGCATGACAGTCTGTATATTTATGTGTGTGTGTATTTTGTGTGATTTGGCTTGCTACCA